CTCGCGATACCAGTAGCAGCGCAACCAGCCGCGGGAAGCTGGCTCCCACCAGACCACGTGCGGACACCGCTCTCACGACGCTTCATTTTTCCGAATCCGGGCCTGGGACTCAAGAATGATTAATCTCAGAATATGCGGCCCGCAAAACAGGTTAATAAAGGACGGAAATGAAAGTTTCTGTCCCCATCACCCTGGGTTATGACGTTTGAGTTGCTCACCTGGTTCCCTCTGGCCCAGCCGTGGGCAAACTTACGGCCCGCCGGATCCGGCCTGTTCGGCTGTTCTATCCGGCCTGCGGAGCTGAAAGAGTGGAGGGTTCTCTTGCTCTCCCCTCCGCTCCTTCACCAGCAGCAGCGTTAACATGTATTAGTTCACACAAACACTCACTCCATCCATGCTTTTGTTCCGGCCCTCCGGTCCAGTGTAAGAACCCATTGTGGCCCTCGAGTCAAAAAGTTTGCCCACCCTGGGTCTGGCCCCACTGAACCGCGAGCTTTTTAGCTGCTGCGTGTAACTGACACTGAGAACAGTATCTGGCATTCAAACGAGTACATGGATGGAGGAAGACACCAGCCCTGGTAGCCAATACTTGTTGGCCAGCCCAGCCGACAGCTCTAAACTAAGAATTGCAATTAAGCCCTAACTGTTTTGGCTCAGTGGATAGAGCATCAGCCTGCGGACTCAAGGGTCCCAGGTTCCATTCCAGTCAAAGGCATGTACCTTGGTTGCAGGCACATCCCCAGTAGGGAGTGTGCAGGAGGCGGCTGATTGATGTTTCTAATTCTCTTATCCCTCTCCCTTCCTCTCTGTAAAAAATCAATAAAATATATTTAAATAAATAGTCATTGAGTTTAAAAAAAATCGCAATTAAAAAAATTGTTTAGACTCTGGATGTAGCTCTTGAATAGCAATGAGAATCTTGCAACTTTATCACGACAAAATTTACCACATTCTGGGTTGAACCTAAACCTTTTCACGTGTTGTTTCATAGTCCTCCCTTCTTCCCCTTTACTCTTCATGTTATATAGAAAGTGAACTATGAAAAAATACTTAGCCCTGACAATAATACATTTAATCCCTGGTCACCCACCCCCTACTGCTGCCTTAACCCATACGCTAGCATTGCTGCCAAGACAAGTTACCAAATAGTCTTATAGTATTTCAACTTTATTTTTTGATTGTGAATGAATTAGCAAAACACGCCATTGTGTTTATAAAATTTGAAATGGAAAAACAAAATTACAGCTTGCTTTCAAGCTTCACTGATCTGGGTGACACTTGCCTTCATAGGATAGGCTCATGTTTTAGGAGAACCAAGACAATGTCTTAGAATTTAAAATCAAGAAAGAAAATTCTGCAAGTTATTAAAAATAGCTTATCCAGCCCTGGTCGGTGTGGCTCAGTTGGCTGAGCATCATTCACGCACCAAAAGGTCCCCAGTTCAATTCCCGGTCAGGGCACATGAAGGAAGCAGCTGATGGATGTTTCTCAAATCAATAAATACATATTTTTAAAATACTGCATATCAAAACTGTATTTGCATTTGAAGTTGCCAGCTTAATCATGACAAATCTCTTACACATATCATGAGGTAGGCTGTTTAAGGGTTAGTATTCTTTTTGCTAAAAATACTAGACTGAAAACATTCCACAAAACACACATAAATAGAATGTATGAATTAAAGTCATGCCTTGTTCTACTACTTCATTTTAATCAGAGATTAAAATATACTGTCAGACCGGTTTGGCTCAGTGGATGGAGCGTTGGCCTGTGGACTGAAAGGTCCCAGGTTCAATTCCGGTCAAGGGCATGTACCTTGGTTGCCGGCACATTCCCGGTGGGAGGTGTGCAGGAGGCAGCTGGTCGATGTTTCTCTCTCATTGATGTTTCTAACTCTCTATCCCTCTCCGTTCCTCTCTGTAAAAAATATTAAAAAAATATATATATACTCTATTTTAAATTCAGGTCAAAGAAACACGTTCACACATGTTATACACAAGGACAAGTTTAATCCTGCATTTTCCTGCAGTAACATCCACTGCTGACTATACATGGATTGAAACTGCATTTGCCAAGAACTGTGAACATTAAGAATCTTTACAAGTCACATGTGTTAATATAGGCATACAGACATCTTCCAGCACCAACAGCATACATAACACACACCGCATGGTCTCGATGGATGAATTTGCTTCAGCAGATAATCGTATTTAGTAAAATTCACAGTTAATGCAGAATTTCTTTTTTTAAATTTACATCTTTACTACACATTCTAAGATTTTAATTATTTATAAAAACATTCAAGATTGTAATTTGCATGGCAATAAACAATAGGTTCTAAATTTATTAAAAGAATCTATAGCAATTAAAATACCACCAGTCTTCAACTTGTAGCACCTGGCTTAAGACCTTTATTAAAAACAAAAGTTTAAATTTGTTTAGTGCATTCATTATAATGGTGTTTCTCTTGTGAGAAAAACATGTTTCAGTTGCTATTTCCCAGACAATATATTGAACATGGGTTTATAATATCTGCAACTGGTTAGCAGGAGTTTACACTCAGATAGCCAGAACAAGAACTCCCAGCCTCTGTAAATGGCCTTCCACTCAGAACGATGACAATGTATGAAACGGATTTGGGGTCTGCCCCCTACTTAACATTATTAAACGTTTCCAAGTATTCTTGGAAAATATTTTAAAATATAGGTGTAATAGTCTACTATATGAATGCACCATCATTTCTTTATCTCCCAGTTGTTCATTTATATCATTTGCAATTTTTTTGACAGGAGTAACATCTTGATGAACATAAGACATACCTTTAGGATAATGCCAAAGAAGTGGTTCACTAGGTCAAACAGTGCAGATGGTTTTAAGGCTTGTCATATACTTGATGAATAATATTCAGAGTAGCTTGAACAACTCCAACCAGCAGTATGTTTATGGGCCCACAAAGCGGACTTGGTTGGTAACAATGAAGCCCATTCAACCACAAATCTATCAGATGCCCAGGCATCTCAGAACTATCACACCGAAGAAGCAAGGAAATGATTATGCCTGGGGATGAAGCCCAATTACAATTCTTTAAAACGTCACTCAGCTTTAAACCAGATTAAATCACGACCATTTGGAAAATGATACACAAAATAAACTTCCCACAAAAAGTCTACAGTGTTTTTCCAAAAATAAAAAGTTTAAAAGACGGAGAAGTCAGGACCAAGTGACCAAAAATTTTTATTTGACTAAATTCTATTTCATGCATGAGCATGACAATCTCCCCTGTTTATAGGACTTTGGCAATAAAAAAACAAAACAAAACACAAGCAGCCTTGTACAGAACAGTGAAAATGCCAAGGGCGAGGGTAGTCCACAGTTTTACTGTAGGATAAATATTTTTTCTTTTCAAAAGGCCACTCCCCCTTTGGCCAACTCTCAGTTCAGACCATTAAATACAGACAAATTCTCAAAATCACTTCTTCACTTCTCCAAGATCTTCAATACTATCATCATCCACCTATAAAACACAAATTACATCTCATGAGTTGTGATAGAAAATAACATGAAAGCAACCTGCCATAGTAACTTATTTCTACAGATGTGTATGGTCCATAGACTCACCTCTGGCCATTTTTCCTGAATGACATCAATGATGTCGTCTGTAAAGTCTCCCTGAATGATGATCTCATCCTCCCCTGTCACTGAGGCACCACAGGAGAATTTTTGAGCAAAAAATCTTTGTGCTTCTTTAAGATCAATTTCTGTTATTTTAAGAAAAGAAACAACAAAACTATAATCAGAATTGTGTGTCAAGGACATTTTTCCATTTTGAAATGCATTTTAAATTCATAAAACAGATTGCATTCATGGGCTTCATATTCCTTTCAGAACAATAATCACCATCACAGGCAGTGGTCTTAATGCAACAATTCAAGGTAAACATACAGCCTCAGTAGTACATAAAAATACCATCACCCATAATATTCATGACTTGTATAGTAAGATCAAAATAAATCCAGGGCCCTCGCTGGTTTGGCTCAGTGGATAGAGCGTAGGCCTGAGGACCAGAGTCCCGGGTTCAATTCCAGTCAATGGCATGTACCTCGGTTGCAGGCTCCTCCCCAGCCAGGGCCCTGGTCGTGGCGCATGCAGAAGGCAACCAATCAATGTTTCTCCCGGGGCGCATGCAGAAGGCAACCAATCAATGTGTTTCTCCCACATAGATATTTCTCTTTGTCTTTCCCCTCTCTAAAAAATCAATGCAAAAATATCCTTGGGTGAAGGTTTAAAAAATAATAATAAACAAACAAATAAATAAATAAATCCAGGAACACATGAATTCCATTACATATACACTTCTGAGTACAATGAAGTTCTTTTGTTTATCCCTTTCTTTATTCTTCTGTATCTCTTTTTTTTAAAAAAGGATAATTTACAGCAGAGAAATAAACCTAATGTTTGTAATGTGGTCCAGTGATTGTTTTCCAATCTGTGTTGTCACACAGAGGGACCTTGATTTGCAGTTTCACCCCAGTTTCACTATTCATTCAAGGCCTTTCCGCAGGAACTTCTGCCATCACCACCTTCCCTCACCCTCTACTGTCATTCCCAGAGGGGGCGAGTCACTTTGCAACGCTCCAAGTTACAGGGCCAAAGGAGCAGCACTCACTGGTGGGTGTCAAAAGGAACCTCTGTTGTCACACAAAGGGACCTTGATTTGCAGTTTCACCCCAGTTTCACTATTCATTCAAGGCCTTTCCGCAGGAACTTCTGCCATCACCACCTTCCCTCACCCTCTACTGTCATTCCCAGAGGGGGCGAGTCATTTTGCAACCCTCCAAGTTACAGGGCCAAAGGAGCAGCACTCACTGGTGGGTGTCAAAAGGAACCCTATCCTTGCCCTCTTCATTCTACATAAAATGTGCCCATGCAGGAATTCTGGAGAGGAAAAAGTAAAACCACTTCTCTCTGCGAAAGACATTAAAATGTCTTCCAAATTTGATTTTGAAGCTGTAGTAACAAATGCAGAATCTTATCCTGTATCTTCTTAGCAAAAACAGACCCATGAAATTTTTATGATTGCAGATTTTTAGAAAAAGAAATATATAGAGAGTTCACATGCTTTAAACACACTTAAGATCAAAAAGCAACTGTTTGTTACATTTGTTGCTTGGTGTAAAAAAAGTAAGAAAATTGTCTTTTAAAAGAAACTCTGTGCGTCCTAATAATTGCTCTGGAAGGAAATAAAAAGAGGTTTCCTTCAAACACATGGAAAACTGTAATTAAAAGTCAATATATTAGGTCTCAATAAGAAAATTAAGTAATCTGTATTTTTGCCTCCCTAAACAAAGCTAATGTAAGGTTATTCAAAGACTAATAGCAGAAATTTAATTAATGTCATTTACTTTCTATAACCTAGGCCAGTGGTCAACAAACTCAATTAGTCAACAGAGCCAAATAACAGTACAACGAATGAAATTTCTTTTGAGAGCCAAATTTTTTAAACTTAAACTATATAGGTAGGTACATTGTAATTAACTTAATTAGGGTACTCCTAAAGCTTAGGAAGAGCCACACTCAAGGAGCCAAAGAGCCGCATGTGGCTCTCGAGCCGCAGTTTGCCGACCACTGACCTAGGACAAGTGAAGTTAAAAAATAAACCTTGTATCAGATTGGTTTAAATTGGCTAATTAAAATAAATGGAAAAAAAAACAAAACAAAAAACACACTTAAGATTAAACTCACCAAAAGTTGCAAGGCCACACACTCTTGTTACGTATTTCTTCTTTGCTCTGGGAATTTTGGCTATCGTAACCTTTTGTGGTACGGTCTTCTTTTTTTGTTTTATTTGACCCCTTCCACCTTTATTTATTAAGGAAGAACTTAGCATTAGTTGTTTCACTTTCAATATAGAGAATACTGTCTTTAAAGTTGTTAACTTTCAAAAGGTACCAAATTTTATTTCTACAGTTGCTTGTTCTAATACAAAATTAATGAACACGTGCATGAGTATTCATTTAATAGATATTTAAGTAATATGTGCCAACCACTGAACTAAGGACACAAAACCAAAGAACACAGCCCCTTCAAGGATTCTCAAGTCTAGTCAAGTGCAACAAGAAAAGTTAAATCTAGCCCAGCCAGCATGGCTCAGTGGTTGAGTGTCGACCTATGAACTAGGAGGTCATGGTTCAATTCCGGGTCAGGACACATGCCTGGGTTTTGGGCTCGATCCCCAGTGTGGGATATGCAGGAGGCAGCCAATGATTCTCTCTCATCATTGATTTTCTATTGCTCCCTCTCCCTTCCTCTCAAAAATCAATTAAAAAAAACATATAAAAATAGAAATGTTAAATCTTTACAGCAACCTGCTATTCTATATAATCCTATATAATAATCCTATATAATAAAGGGCTAATATGCAAATTGTCCCCTAAGAGTTGGAATGACCAGGAGTTACACCCACTGGAAGTTTGACCATCGCTATGACATGCGCTGACCACCAGGGGACAGCATGGAATGATGAAAGGCCCCCGCCTGCAGCTGGCAGCCGAGGGAAGGAAGGCCCAATCAGCCCTGATCGCTGGCCAGGCCTAGGGACCCTACCAGGCGTCTAGTATACTATACCTAGAGGCCAGTGCACAAAATTCATGCAAGAGTAGGCCTTCCTCCCCCCAGCTGCCAGCACCGGCTTCCCTCCAGCCACCGGAAGGCACCCGGGACCCAGGCTTCCCTTGCAGCCCCGGCTTCATCCGGAAAGTCGTCCAGGAGGATGTGCAGTCTAATTAGCATATTATGCTTTTATTGTTAGGTAGGATCCATAAATACACACTACCACAGCTTCGAAGAGGAGCGGCTAACCCTGCTTCTGAAGGACAGAATAGATTTCCTAATGGAAGTGGCATCTAAGCTCCTGCAGAATAAGGAATTGTCCTGGCTGGAGAGGTTTAAGAAAGAACATTCCAGCCGAAACCGGTTTGGCTCAGTGGATAGAGCGTCGGCCTGCGGACTGGGGGGTCCCCGGTTCGATTCTGGTCAGGGGCATGTACCTGGGTTGCGGGCACATCCCCACTGGGAGATGTGCAGGAGGCGGCTGATCGATGTTTCTCTCTCATCTATGTTTCTGACTCTCTATCTCTCTCCTGTCCTCTCTGTAAAAAATCAATAAAATATATTTAAAAAAAAAAATAAAAAGAAAAAGAAAGAAAGAACATTCCAGGAAAAGGAATGAGTGCAGAGATAAGAAAAGGTATTATATCTGAGAGCTACACCTGTCTTGATGAAGCACACTATGGATATGCAGCCGATAAAGCCAGAAAAGCAAAAAATTCTGTATCAGTCATTAAAGGAACAGTACATCAAGCTTGTAATTTGATTTTACATTGAAGAGGACATAAGCCACTGAATGTGCAGGAGTAAGACGACCAGATTTATGTTTTGTCAAGATCACCCTACAGTGTGGAGGGTGGGTCTGTGAAGAGTTAGGCTGATTGGGAGGCCACGGAGCCTGCACTGGTTCAGGCAGAAATTAATCAAAATCTAAACCAAAGCAATGGCAATAGCAACGGCCACTAGGCACAGGATAGAGACAGTAAGTAAGAGAGAAATGTAACAGAATTTAGAACTGACTAAAGGGACAAAACGAGAGAACCTAAGATGGGTCTCAGATTTCTGGCTCAGGTGACTGGGTAAACTGTGCTGTCATAACCAAAATAGGGGAAACAAAAGACACAGATTTGGGACTTAGAAAGTTTACTTTGGAAATCCTGCACCTGAGGCGCTTATGGCACCATGCACATTCCCCATGTAGAGACATGGGCCAGGACCAGAGATACAGATTGGGGACTTCTAAGAGTCCAAGTTACGAATGTCGAAGAGCCACCCTAGGACAGTGGTCGGCAAACTCATTAGTCAACAGAGCCAAATATCAACAGTACTTCTTCAAAACAGACTCGCCCAGGCCGAAAACCGACTTGTGCGCATGGGCCACGAAGTTTTAATCACACTGTATGCGCGCCCACACATGGAAATTTGGTGGAAGAGCCACACTCAAGGGGCCAAAGAGCCGCATGTGGCTCACGAGTCACAGTTTGCCGACCACGGCCCTAGGAGAACAAGCAGAATGAAAGGTCAGAGGGCAGAAGACAGAATCCAGGGAAACATCAACTTTTGAGGGACAGAGGGGGAAGTCTGCACAGAAGACCGAGGAAGAGTGATAGGATGAAAAAGAACGTCACAGAAGCCAAGGAAGTACAGCACTTCAAGAAAGGAGTCCTCAAATGCTCTTATCGTTATTTAGCAATTACTGACCCTTATTAGAGGGTTTCAGTGGCGTGAAAGTTAGGTTAGGACAGACTGGGCAGTGAACAGGAAGCGAATGGCTAAGAAGGGAAGCAGGGGGATAAGGCAAAGAAAGACATGGGCTCTTTGGAAATTTTTTGAAAAGGTGCAAAGTCCTAAAAATATCTACAGGCTAATTTTAGTCATGGGGAGAATAATTAAGGAAGAAGAAACAGGAAGGGACAGGATCCAGAGGAGAGACAGACAGGTATATGCAACATCAGTAAAAAAACTGTCAACTGAGCTGTCAGAATAAGAAAAAATTTATATAAATGTCCTCGCTCTAATTAAATAGAATACACAGTTTAATAAGGCAACAAAGTTTTCACATCATCAAGTTGGCTGGTTGCTTTTTACATATGTATACGGCAAATCAAGCATGTTTTCTTAAGTCTAATTTGCTGATAAAGCCACAAATCATTCCGGATCCAACTCCCCCCTGTAAACAAGATTCTGTACCCCTCTGAATGATTCATGAATTACAATAACAGGCGGGCATTACTGATGTTGGAAATGCTTTCATCACTGATTTCTACTGGCAGAGGGAAGGTAAATTTGTGTCCATCAAATCGTGGAATTAGGTCTCACCTCTCTTTTGTTTTTTCTTTTCTTCCTCTTCTCCTGCTGGTCCTTGACCCTCACTAATTCCAGCTTCTTGTTTGGGCGAATTTTCTAGATGTAAAAATGAAAATTCAAAAGCATTAACATCACTTCCTACTAATGTAAAAAAATCAAATCACCTTTGAGCAACCCCATACAAAAATAAGTAATTTTACAACAATTGAGCGTGACAATTATTTTATTTTTGTTAAGCCTCACCCGAGCATATTTTTTCCATTGATTTTTAGAGAAAGTAGAAGGGAGGGAAGGGGAAGAGGGGAGAGACGGGGAGAGAGAGAGAGAGAGAGAGAGAGAGAGAGAGAGAGAGAGAGAGGCAGGCATTGATGTGAGAGAGACACATTGATTGGTTACCTCTCGCATGGCCTGACCAGGACTGGGGATCGAACCTGCAGCCCAGGTACATGCCCTTGACCAGGGATCGAACTAGAGACTCTTCAGTGCACAGGTCGATGCTCTAACCACTGACTCACATCAGCCAGGGCCTTCCCCAATAATTATTATCTCCCTGTTCCCTGTTTATCACTACTCAACATAATTATGTCATTTGTCTCATTTTACTTATTTTATTTGTCTCCCCTTCGAGAATATAATTTCCAAACACAACTTTTGTTTGCTGCTTTTATCCTCATCATTTGAAACAGGGTGTAGCATATAGTATGCTCACAAGAAATAATTTGTTAAATGACTGAGTGAAAATGTATTTGCCCCTAAATCAGTTACTCTTCTTTATATAAAGAAGGTGATATTTTTAACATACACTGTCTCAGAGAGAAGACACAGGAAGCAGTGTGTGATTTGATATAAGGAATTTTAACCCGAGAACTTAAGATAGTTTTAAAGTTCATAGGTATAGGTTATAACTCTGTAATCATCCTACTAAAAGAAGACTTTTTGTATCTTTAAAATAATACCTTACGTGCATTTGTTTTGGGTATACAAATTTTGATGAAAGAAAAAGAAATGTTCATACCTACTGTAAGTTTTGCGAACTCATTTGGAAAATTCTTCTCTAACCACTGTCTACATTTAGCAACATCAGGCATATATTCACAGTACTGGGAGGGAAAGAATAAACAGAGTTACAACAAAACATTTGCAATCAACCAATATATTTTCATTTAAAAGCATTCCAAGTACTTGCTACATAAAGAATGATAAAACTAACTACTTCCACCTGCTGTCTTATCCACAGGAAATCTATATTCAACCAGGAAACACCCCGTAAGAAATCAGAAATAAAAAGAAATTAGGCAGCTCCTCACTGTAGTAATTTATTTCTTTTCCATCAAACAGAAGGGCCATTAGAAAGGGAACAAACAGACAAAAACACGTACATCTACTTCTTGCTCTGGGCACATGGGTGCCTCATAATTTTCATGGCTTGCCCACAGAGCCTGACTTAGAAGCTTATTAACAGAAGTCTTACACATAATTCATGCTTTCCTCTGCTTGCATGTCAAATTTTGGCTTTAAAGTTACTCTTGTTTTATTAGCTGACTGACTATTCATGAGTGCCAGGCAAAAACCCAAACTGTATGGCTAAGTGCAAAAGATGCACACATGAGACTCAAAATCTAAAGATTAATTTGTTATTCCATAAAATTATTCTAAACCAAGTTTGTCTAATAAAAGGTTGAAAATCTACTACTAAATGATAGAAAATGAAAAATAAGAAAAAAGTTCTCAAAATAGCTGTAAAATTAATGATCTCAAATGCAGAAATTAAAAGAATTTTAAAAGAACTTACCTCTGTTGGTAATGAACACACTGGGGAAATGGAGAGAAAAAGATTCAGAAATTTAAGTACACACACAGCACTCATCATAACTTTAATTTAAAATTGACAAAATGCCTCATTTGTACTTTTTCCTATATTTTTTCTGTACTATTTTTCAAATGCTACCATCATGCCTTGCTTGTTTGAGGCAAAAGGCACATGGTTAATACCACACTTATAAACTTCAGTGGCACTTTGCTACCATTTCTTTGCAATATACTTTTTCCTTTTCCTATTACTAAAAATAATAAAATAAAATCAACTTCCCCCTACAAATCACTTACTATTTGTAAAAGTTATTTGTAAACTAACTTTTCAAGGCAAAACTCTCGCAGTCACCTTCAAATGTCACATCACTAAGTGGAACAACCTGACATTATACAGGGATAATCTTATAATTATGCTATGTCAAGCTGACCATTTTTTCTTTCTTAGTGGAACCTAAAATAATGGTACATCTTATAAAATAAAGAATTCCAGATTTGATGAAACAGGATATAAAGAATAGCTCTTAACTACACTAGTATACTTTTCTAATAATAATAATAATAATAATAGCATTTATCATAATACATTCTTTTTTTAAAATATATTTTAATGATTTTTTACAGAGAGGTACGGAGAGCGATAGAGAGTCAGAAACATCAATGAGAAACATCAATCAGCTGCCTCCTGCACACCTGCCACTGGGGATGTGCCGACAACCAAGGTACATACCCTTGACCGGAATCGAACCTGGGACCTTTCAGTCCGCAGGCTGACGCTCTATCCACTGAGCCAAACCCGTTAGGGCGTACATACATTCTTGTCTTAGTTGCTGTACCAGAAGCTTGATACGACTCATCTGACTTATTTTATAGGCCTGAAGAAATAAGCCTCTAGCCCTCAGTGAAGTTTGTTAACTTGCCCAAGGTCAGGTAGCTGGTAATGCTGGAGTCAGGATGCAAACTTTGGCCATGACTCTAAAGTCAAACAATATAACCCAGTAAAACGCATATATAACAAAACTCAGCCAACACTACAAGAAGTTCCCCCGCCTACTCTCTTACTGAGGTATTTTACACTAATTTTAAATTACTATCAAAGGTATTTTTTAAATGTTTTTATTCATGTCAGAGAGAGGAAGGGAGAGGGAGACAGAGAAACATCAATGATGAGACAGAATCACTGATTGGCTGCCTCCTGCACACCCCCCACCATGAGCCCGAAATCCTGACCGGGAATCGAACCATGACCTCCTGGTTCATAGGTTGACGCTCTACCACTGAGCCACACCCACCAGGCACTATCTATAATAATAAAAGGGTAATATGCAAATCAACCAGATGGCCGAACAGCGGATGATCTTCCAGATAACCTTCTGGATGAAGCCGAGGCTGCGAGGGCCGAGGCAGCTGCCATCAGGGCTGCGAAGGCCTACTCTCTTTTTTTTTTAATATATTTTTATTGATTTCAGAGAGGAAAGGAGAGGGAGATAACAACATCAATGATGAGAGAGAATCATTGATCAGCTGCCTCCTCAACCTCCCCTACTGGGGATCAAGCCTGTAACCCAGGCATGTGCCTTTGACCGGAATCAAACCTGGGACCCTTCAGTCCGCAGGCCAACGTTCTATCCACTGAGCCAAACCAGCTAGGGCCGAAGGCCTACTCTTGCATGAATTTTCTGCATCAGGCTTCTAGTCAAAGATATTCAATAAAGGATGAGTTGATACAACTTTTTAACTCAGTAACATCGCCTCTCCTTCTACAGTCCTTGAACTCCAGGGGAGGAGGTCTCTATTCCACTCACAGAATGTAGGTCCACGAAAACAAGGACTTACTCCCTACGTAGTCCCCAGCACCTACAACATGCTAGGCACATAATAACTGGTCAAATATACTTTAAAAAATTAGTGTTTACTTGCCCTTTTACTGCCTTGTACCTTCAAAGTTTTCTGAGACTTTCCAAGATGCTAATAAAATTAGAGCATTTCCGCCCTAACTGGTTTGGCTCAGTGGGTAGAGCGTCGGCCTGCAGACTGAAGGATCCCAGGTTCAATTCCGGTCAAGGGCATGTACCTTGGTTGTGGGGACATCCCCCATAGAGGGTATGCAGGAAGCAGCTGATCGATGTTTCTCTCTCATCCATGTTTCTAACTCTCTATCCCTCTCCCTTCCTCTCTAAAAAATCAATAAAATATTTTTTAAAAAAATTAGAGCATGTCCAATTCACAAATGTTTTTGTATTGAAAATGAGGCATATTCAAAGGAGGGAATCCTGATTTAGGCTAATATATATATACACATATATTTGTTAATCCTCACCCGAGGATATTTTTCCATTGATCTTTAGGGACAGTGGAAGAGAGAGAGAGGGAAAGACCGAGAGAAACATCAATGTGAGAGAAACAAACACATTGGTTGCCTCCTGCACGAGCCCCGACCAGGGCCGGGCTGGGGAGAAGCCTGCAACCAAGGTACATGCCCGTGACCGGAACAGAACCCCGGGGACCCTTTGGTCTGCAGGCAGAGGCTCTATCCACTGAGCCAAACCGGCCAGGGCTATTTTTAATCAAACCAAGAACCCTGTCCCAAGACTGTCCTTCCACACACATCGCTGAACCCCCCCACCCCCACCCCTTGGCTCCTGACACCCTCCCTCTGCTACACTGGCACAAAGGGGTTTGCGCCTCCAGGAGTGCACCAAGCTTTTTCTTCCCCACTTCCCTGTCATATCCGAGAAGGGACCTCCTTTAACAGCTAGACTAGCCAGTAACATCCGGCTGAAACAGTCTATCTGCATGTCTCTCTTCCAACTGGGCTGTTGGCTTCGCAGGGGGCCACGTAACAAGACACAAGCCGCACAGGTGGGGAAAATGTGTTCATCTCCCCGTCTCAAATGAAGGATTCACCCCACGATGAAGACCGATGGAAAACGGAGGACGGGAACCAAATGTGAAACGATGATCACAAGGCATACAAACACAGTAAGCAAAAAACACAACAACAACAACAAAAACCGCCGCGCACACTTGCCTCCGCAGTAAAGGACCCGGAGCGGGTAATCGCCATCTAACTTGGTATTGCTCCTGGAGTCTCCTTTGCAGTCATGGCCCCCGGATTCGGAACTGTCAGCAGCCATCTCACAGACCTGTAAGCCGGGGGAAAAGAACACACATCTGCACGACCGTGGGCCGCGACCCCGGGGCAGCCGTGCCGGGGTGTGGCCCTGCCTCGTCCCCCACCAGGAATAACCCGAACCCCAAGTCCGTTTCATCTCCCTGCTGTCAAGTGGATGACGGGGATACAAGCTGCCATTAGGATTCACAAAACGCGAGCCGCTCCGGGCACAGGGCACACCGTCTTTATCAGGCCTACGGGGAAGCAAGCGCCTGGGGGGCAGAGGGCACTCATCCAAGAGGAAGGAATGGGGGAAAGAACGGGCAGGGCAACTTCGGTGGAGACGGGGAGGGCAAAAGGTCTGGGGTGATTAGGAAGTGGTGCAAACCCGCGGCAATAAAGGCAACCCAGCAGGTGGAAGAAAAGGCCCCACAAAGAAGGGGTGGGTCCCCGGAGGTGCCCCGAGGGCAGGGTGTGGGGGCAGCTACACGCCAAGGGAGTCAGGAGCCGGGATGGGAGTGGGAGAGGGCGGGGAGACCAGAGTCTCGGGAGAGAAAATAGGGCAGGAGAGCCGAGGAGGCGCAGAAAGTAAGGGAACTGGGGTGACAAGGGCGGTCCAGGTGGGAGAGCCGGGACCGGGAGCCGAGGGGGCTAATCCCGGGGACACTCGAGGGGCCCATGTGGGCGGGGATGTGGAGACGCCCGGCCCCTTCCGCCGGGCGGCAGCACCTTAGCTTTCCCCCCACCCCACGCTCTCTATACGCG